CCGTATTTGTGTTCCTGTAGCTCAGAGACCTGGAGACGCTCCGACGCCTCCCAGACCCGAACCGCCGGCATGTGGCCGCACTGAGGGGCAAGCAGGAACAAAACTTTGCTCATCTCAGCATCCGTCTGAGGGAACGTCGGCTGGATTCCAACACTCACCTCTCCCGTCACAATGTACTTCCCGTCTGGAGAGAAGGCCAACGTAGTGATCGCCTTCCTAAAAACACACAATCAGCTGAGGACTTCCAGCTACCACATCAGTCATGTGACCACATGAGTATAACAGGTCCTACTTATAATAAACCTTTTATACATTATGTGCTGTTTGTTAGTTAGCTAGAATTCTCATCAGTACCACCCCGGGGGTTGGCTGATCTGTGACCCCTCCTCCACCTTTAGGGACCTTACCTGCAGCCCTGACCCAGAGTTGGACTCGCGTTCACTCTGGCTGTGCTCTGAGTCTGGCGCTAAATTCATAACACAGACACACAGACTCACCTTAACGTAGCAGCACTTTTGTTTAAATTGTGTTATTTTAGAATGGGCCTGAAATATGAAACAATAATCTTTCAATGTTTATAATCTATATCTTATCTAAAAATAATATAATTTTATGTGGTTTTTGTAACAAACGAGCCCTCGCCACCTGCAGATCCTCCACCAGAGAGCAGCAGACATGTATAAGAGAGGATATGGCAGGTGTGGGATGAAGGTACTAATCTTTATACTGTGTCGGGGTGGTTTAGGGACAGAAGTGATAAACACCTGATGTAATCCTTAACTCTAGGGATTAGCTCCATATTTCTGCCACACAGGAATTCACCTGGAACTGTTGAAGATGTGATGCTGTTTGTTCTTCAGAGGATTCAGCAGGACAACGACGCATCTGTAGAGCACAGATCAGGTCTGAATTACAAGACACAGAAACAAACAGGGTCTGGGAACAGGACTGGCACTGCAGCTATCCAGTTGTGCTGCAGGGATGTCACGTTCCTGTTGCAGATCTGATAGTAGCGTGAGAGTTGGCATCAACACTAATAATTTAGTCTTTACATGTACAAGGTATATGCAGGAATCTTGAAGTTAAATTTAATACATTTTCAAGACTTTTTGAAGACTTTCTCAATATGTTTTAATACCTCACCCGCCATCTCAATCTGTATCCATTTACAGTGAACAGCGATACTTTTAATATTTCGGTGCATTCGTAATACGTATCGGGAACACCAGCGTGTACATTGCGGTTTTGAACTTTCGCCCCGCCCACCCTAGTGCTCTGAGAGGAAAATTACTAAAGCACCCACAATACCCTGTTTGTTTTTTAAATAAAAATGACCAATTGCAAACACTTTTATGATGTTTTAGGGATTCAAACTGTTGGACGTTTAATTCGGAAAAAATAATTTCAAAATTTAAGACTTTAGAAAGCCGTAATAATACTTTTTAATACCTTTTAAGGGTCTTACTTTTACCAAAATTCATTTATCACTTTTTAATACTTTTCAAGACTCCGCGGACACCCTGATGAAGGTGGTACCAATCCAGACTCCTACAGGATCAGTTAAACCCTGGTTGAAACAGTCAGAGCTGTGGTGTTTCCTGGGTCCAGACGAGTGATGGGAATAACGCAGTTTAAAATAAAATAGTTTATTTCAGTAATGAGTAATCTAATTAATTACCATCTTCTTTATCATAATGCCATTTCCGTTACTGATGAGAAAATGCGTGCCTTACTAAATCAGCAGCGCGTGTGTTGAAGCCATCATCAGCTGATCGGGAGCTAAAGAGGTGGATTGTCAGAACCAGAACCTGGAGTGAATCGGACCCAAGAATACAGCCAACACCAGAATGAAGCAGTAATAGTTTTTTTTATTGGTGAGGATTTATTGCTCTGTCCCAGATGCTGAGCAAGGAACTGTTTGCTGGACTGCTGAGAGTTTCCTGACGAGCAGCACTGGAACATAAACAGAGCGGATGGTTAGCAGTCTCTCACCATGGGGGGGGACCAGGGGGCGTGGTCATGAGTACAGTCCAGGTGGGTACACGGGGGTCAGATATCAGGAAGGCACCAAGCAGCAGGCAGAGAGGAATCAGAGAGGAGGCAGGGGTCGATAGCCGGGAGATCCAGGTCTGTGAGGTTTAGCAGGCAAGGGCAGGAGAGCTGGGAGCAGAAACAGGGTCAAAAAAAGTAGAAGGGCTTGGCTTGGTAAAGGCTGGATTTTGTCTGCAAGAGCTTCAGATAATCTGGCACAGAGTAGTGGCTGGAGGAAGCTTATATCCTGAAGGACACAGGTGGAGATGATTAGACAGACAATCATGAGTAGACAAGCAACAGGTGAGCAATGAAGAAAGGCAGGATGACTGAAGATCGTGACAGTGCCCCCCACCTAAGGTCTGACACCCGACAGACCCCCAGGTAGACCAGGGTGCGCAGCATGGAAGGCACAGATGAGGGACTTGTCCAGAATGCGCCGGGCGGGAACCCAGGAGAGCTCCTCAGGGCCGTAACCCTCCCAATCAACAAGATACTGGAGACCCCGACCCCAGCGGCGGGACTGAAGGAGGCGGCACACAGTGTAGACCAAGCCCCCACCAACAAGCCGGGCGGGAGGGGGGGACACGGCCTGGGGCCCAAAACGACAGGAATGAAATGGCTTGATCCGTGACACATGGAACGTGGGATGCACGTGCAGGGCGCGCGGGAGGTGGAGTCAAACAGCAACAGAATTAATGACTTTGGAAATGGGGAAGGGGCCAATAAATCTCGGGGCAAGCTTACGACTCTCCACCTTGAGAGGGAGGTCCTCGGTAGAGAGCCACACCCTCTGCCCCTCCTGGTAGGCTGGCGCCGGGTTGCGGCGACGGTTTGCACCACGGGAGTACACTGCAGTGGAAGGTAGTAGAGCCCTCCGGGCCGTTCTCCACACCCGTTGGCACTGCTGGGCTGCCGCATGGGCAGAGGGGATGGTGGCCTCCTTCTCCTGAAGGGAAAAAACAGGAGGCTGGTAGCCATAAACAACATAAAAGGGAGAGAGATTGGTGGCGCTAGAAGGCAAACAGTTAAGGGCATATTCAATCCATGGCAGGTTCTCAGACCACTTTGATGGATCCCGTTGACTAAGGCCTCTGAGTTTGGTTTCAATCTCCTGATTCGCCCTTTCAACCTGTCCGTCCGTCTGGGGATGAAAACCAGAAGACAGACTGCGATTGATGCCAAGCAGAACTGACCCCAAAACTTTTAAATGAACTGCGGGCCTCAATCTGAAACAATGTCACATGGCAGACCGTGCAGACGGAAAACCTCCCGAGCTATGACAGTACTCAATTGCTTGGCAGTGGGGAGCTTTTTGAGGGGAACAAGGTGAGTCATTTTTGAAAAACGGTCGACAATAGTGAACAAAACAGAAAATGAGTTGGACTCTGGCAAACCTGTGACAAAATCCATTGCGACATGGGACCATGGTCTGTGGGGTACAGGCAGTGATCTGAGTAACCCAGCTGGAGGTCTACTGGAGGGTTTGGATTGGGCACAAACGTGGCAAGCAGTGACAAACTCCTTGACATCGCGAGTTAGGGTACACCACCAGAGACATCTCCGAACCGTTGACAGGGTCCTAGTAATACCCGGGTGACAGAACAGTCGAGAGGAATGACAGAAAAGCAGTACCTCAGTGATTAGGTGGTCTGGAACGAAAAGGCAGTTGGCTGGGCATTCTCTGGGAACAGGATTGTCACGATGTGCCTCCTCAATCTTCTTCTCCAGACTCAGACAAGAAACTGCCAACCTCACAGACTGAGGGAGAATGTAATCTTCATCACCACAGGCTTGGATTGACCCTATTTGCTCATGCATCCGGGATAGAGCATCAGGCTTAATGTTCTTGGGCCCTGGTTGATAGGAGAGGGAGAAGGCAAAATGACTGAAGAGGGCCCACCTTGCCTGTCTGGGATTTAGCCTCTTGGCTGTTTTAATGTATTCAAGGTTTCTATGGTCCGTCCAGACAATGAACGGGAGCTCTGCTCCCTTCAGCCGATGACGCCACTCCTCCAGTGCCAGTTTAACCGCCAGCAATTCTCGGTCACCCACGTCATAGTGTTGCTCAGATGAAGACAGACGCTTGGAGAAATAAGCACAGGGGTGGACCTTATTATCAGAGGGATTACGTTGACTTAACACAGCACCTACCCCTATGTTGGAGGCATCAACCTCAACCATGAAATGGGAGAGCCGGATCAGGGGAGCAGAGAACTGGAGCAGATGTGAATAGTGTTTTGAGGTGGGTGAATGAGAGGTCGGCTTTACCAGACCACATGAACGATACCTTGGAAGATGTGAGGGCATGGAAGGGTGCTGCAACAGAGCTGTAGTTTTTTATGAAGCGGCGGTAAAAGTTGGCAAAACCCAAAAACCTCTGCAAGTGTTTTCGGTTCTTGGGTTTGGGCCAATCTTGGACTGCAGACACCTTGGCAGGGTCCATGGAAACTTGATTAGGGGCTATGATAAATCAGAGGAAGGAGACTGTGGTCTTGTGAAATTCACTCTTCTCTGCCTTGATGCAAAGGTTGTTCTGCAGGAGCCTGAGGATGACAGAACGTACATGTTCCACGTGACAGGTTAGGTCCTTGGAGAAAACAAGAATATCATCAAGGTACACAAATACATAGTGCCCGACCATGTCTCTGAGCACATCATTGAGCAGAGCTTGAAAGACAGCGGGAGCATTGGTGAGGCCGAAAGGCACCGTGGTTTTGCCCCAAGGTTCGATTTTAGGCCCAGTGCTTTTTAATCTGTATATGCTTCCACTTGGTGGCGTCATCGGGCGACACAGAGTGCAATTTCACAGTTATGCAGATGATACACAGTTGTACATCTCTGTGTCTCCCGATGACGCAAGACCATTGGATGCCCTTTTAATTGTATTTCCGATATTGAATCGTGGATGTCAGAAAACTTTCTCCAGCTTAACCGGGACAAAACCGAAGTTTTAGTCATTGGTCCTGAGACCCAGAGAGAGAAACTTTTCCAAAGCTACAGTCACTAACTATTAATTCGTCTTCTCAAGTGAAGAACCTGGGTGTTATTTTTGACTCTGAGCTAACTTTTAATCCCTACATTAAGAATATAACAACATTTGTTTTTATCACCTGAAAAACATCGCCAGAGTCCGCCCCTTTCTCACTCTGGCCGATACAGAGACGCTGATGCATGCTTTTATCACGAGTAGAATTGATTACTGTAATGCCCTGCTTTCTGGTCTTCCCAAAAAGAGTACCTCAGGTTTACAACTCCTACAAAATTCAGCAGCTCGTGTCCTGTCTGAGACCAGGAGGCAGGAGCACATTACACCTCTTAAACAAGCTGCGTTGGCTTCCTGTACGTTTCAGGATCGATTTAAAGGTTCTTTTAATGGTTTTTAAATGCGTTAGTGGTCTTGGACCTTCTTATCTCTCAGAACTGCTTCATAAATATGAGCCTTCGCTGTCCCTGTGCTCCTCTGGCAGCCATCTCCTCTTCATTCCAAAGGTCAGGACGCACTACCAAGGTGAGGCATCCTTCCAGTTTTATGGCCCTCGCCTCTGGATCAGTCTGCCAGAGGACCTCAGGGCCGTAGAGAGTGTTCTTGTTTTTAAGGCCAGGCTCAAGACTCACCTTTTTAGTACAGCTTTTAAGTTATTTTGATCTATTTTAGCCTGTTTTTACCATCTTTTATATATTTTATCAGTGTTTTATGACTTACTCTTTTAATTAAATAACACATATTTTCTTACATATTTATTTTAACTTGTAATAATTATTAGTTTTAACCAGTCTTAATACTTTGTTGTACAATATTTTATAAATGTAATTATATGTTTTCTACTTGGTTATCTTTTATCACTGTGTGC